ACATAATTATCAATGGAGTTGCAGTCTGAAGAGTTAGGTGGCCAGATGTAAGGGGTGTTGTGGTCACAGAAATTGTCTGACAGACATGATAGGATTCTCCTGCTTGTGTGGCATGGTGCAGAGCCCCGTTGCCAGATTTTGCGGTCTTTCAGAATCAACCCACTTGACCTAGGGAAGCACTAATTCTTCAAGGCACTTGATGTAGACCTCCGTGTTGCATCTGAGACCCTAACCAAAGATTCTGGAGTTCTTTTCTAATCCGAACGATAAGAGTGAGTTTTCGGAGTTGACGTAATTTCGTAATCACTATCAGACTCATCCAACCCTTTTCCCAATCCTCAGCACTGTCCTCAGATTGACAGCCAAACACTCTGAAATGTTTGTATTGGAGGTTCCGGTGCGAATGCCAAGCAGTACACCATTTCCAAATTTCTGGCGTAGTGAATTGCGTCATGGTGCTCTTTTTCTCACAGACCGTACCCAACTGACTTTACTATACTGTGCAGTCGACAAACTCAAAAATCAACAGCCCGCATGCGCGAAATTAAAAATATGAAACCGCGACAATTTACCCATCGCACCCAGTGTGAGTGTGTATACACACACACACACACACACACACATATATATATATATATATATATATTATGAAATAGACAAAGACCGACAATCATTTTAAGACATTTTTTATGTTTATGCATTCTTTTTTATAGATCCAAATATTTAAGTAATAAATTAAGTTTAAATATATGTATCTATAAAAAAGAATGTATAAACATAAAATGTCTTAACATATATTATTCGCAGACAGCGCTATTTCGCAGCTCCTCAGTACGACTAGACAACTAAATGCTTCAAGCCCCGATTGAAACCCAACTAATTTGGTATCAGTCAGAACTTCTACCACTGAGCTATCTTCACTCGACAGAGAGAGTCGGTCAAATCTAGCGCATTGTGATTACAAACATAAACAAACGCCAAGCAGCCATAGTGTTCAATTCATTTTACTGAAGAGCTTCGCATTTACGCAGGTGACCGTTGTTTTTAGAATTAGCTTGTCATTCAACAGTGCTCAATTGAAAATATATTTTTATACTTAAATGGAAAACGCAGCATTCAAGGTTGCTTGACAGTTTGTATGACAGTCTCCAGTTATCTTGACTGCCTTTTCGTCATTTGGGTCAAGGCAGTCTGAGGCTGAGAATCCATACAGTGTTGCGCAAGCGGGGTATGACCACAAGAATTCGAACGAATACTATCGGTCTTCCGGATTCTGGTGGATGGGGACTCCTCACATTCCACGTTCAGTCTGCTGGCTGTAAGCGAGTGGTCAATCTTTATTTACACACACACACACACACACACACACACATATATATATATATATATATATATATATATATATATATATATATAAATTATATCACACATTCAATATAAAGGAGTCGTGCTACCTGTGAGGAAACAAACACACACACACACACACACACACACACACACACACATATATATATATATATATATATATATATATATATATATATATATATATATATATATATATAACGAAGAGGTTATAGTAGTTCCAACGAGAGAAAAGTGTGTATATTAAAAAAGAAGATAGAAACCATGAACAAACCATGAACATTTTTGGTTGTAATGTGAATTTTTTTTTAAAAATATATAATGCTTTATTTTCCATAATTTTGCTACACGTGTTTCATGTCTCGCGAAAGTCATCAGGCAAAATGTGGAGATTTCCACATATTATTAAAAATAATAAATTTTGTTCTTTATGTTTTTGATGTTAACTATTCTCTATATGAGACATTCTCTTTTCGTGTGTTAGTGATCCAAATGTCTTTCATGAACTGGCAGTGAATAGTTCTGCGTGAAGGGTTATAAAACAATTAAGATTGGTCCGAGAAATGGTGAAGTAGTTATCGGCATTCTTATCTTTTAATGATCCCTGTGGGTTCTTAGATCCATTTCCATTTATAAGCACAACAGACCAAACCTAACAACCATTACCCATATCCAGAAGTACAATCAGAATTCCCCGAGAATTTCTACACACAATCCACATACAATCCATACAAAAACAACAAATCTAGAAACATCTGGAACACTCCTCCTAACAATAACAGCTATATAGAGCAAGTAGACTCAAAATATACAGGGAGAGGATATCTCTTAGAAAACCCAAAATATATTAAAAGAAACAATTATTATTTTTTAGAAGCCCCAGTTCGAACAAGAAAACCAGTTTAGGTGTCACAAAACCCAAAATAATAAACCTATCTACATATACACTTACAAATGACGAAATCAACCTTTTGAAATTGGGCCTAAAATTCGGCCCTGTTCCGAAAAACAATATAGCAAACCTAACAATATAGCAGACCTCAAAAAAAGACCTTAAGGAATTTGAACGCAAATTGAGACTAAGAGAAATATTTAATAATAACGAAAATATTACAGATGAGTCAATAGTAAAAAAAAAAAAACAAATCCCAAAGGAAAATAACAATACCAATGAGCTAAATATATATTTTTGAGAAACTCTAGAACCTCGACCTACAAGAAAACTCCAAACCATTCGACAACCTTACATACAAAGACTAGCCTAACATAATTATAAAAGAAGCAGATTAAGGCAGCGCTATAGTGATCATGGACAGAACACACTATAAAACAAAAATTCTAGAAATACTAGAGGATTGGAACCACTACAGATTAATTGACATTAACATAGACAAAAACATTATATCAAAAATTACAAAACTCTGCACAACACATAACAAAATATTAACAAAAAAAGAGAAGGATTTCCTAATAATCTTTGTACCAAAAACAAGCAATTTCTACGGACTACCTAAAATTCACAAATCGAGTGAAATATAAGCAGCTATACAGACACAAAAATCTGAATACATTAGCATTCCAAACCCCAGTGACCTTCCATTCAGACAAATAGTAGCAGGACCAGCCTAAACTAATTGATTTTCTTTTCCCCATATTTTCAGATAAGACGTTTAGCCATCTTGATACCATTTAATGTAAAAATCACTGAAAACGCATTTGAATTATTCAGCTAAAAAGAGAGCAAGTTAAAATTGTTTTGTTTCAGACCCACTGACTTTCCAACTTATCAATGGTGAGAGGAAAAAGATCATTCAGGCTTTCAGTAATGGTACCAACATTTATACTCTGGTTTCCATCTTCAAAGTCCATGCAAGAAGCATCAAGAGAACGGTGAATAAGTTTAAATAAAGAGGGAACAGTAGAAAGGGAAACTGGATCAGGAGTTCACAGCAGGAAAGGGATCATCATTTCAACTTAGAACTAAAGAGATCAATTAGAAAAGATCCAACTCAATCTATGAGACGTTTGGCACTTGAGATATGAGTTTCAACTATGACAGTCCAAAGAGCAGTGAAAAAAGTTATGAAAATGAAACCTGTGAGACACCGTGTTACTTCAGGATAGAAATTTAGAAGGTTAGAGAGGGTGAAGATCATCTTGAATACGCTGGAAAATGATTCTGGAATAACATGAATTAAATATAATTATCAAATCCTCCTAATAATTACTATCTGTGTTTATCATCGCTTGAACCGGCTTCTAATGCTCTGGAGGGAGCGGCTTGGTGAGAGTAGTCGTGGCTCCAGGGGGCACAGTCCTATGGTTACAGAGAACTCAGTTGAGTTCCGCCACGGAATATGTGAGCGAGCGGCGCTAAGTTGAGTCTGATTTGGAATCTCTTCGTCACCGAGGCCCATTTGGAACAGTTGGTATGATGTTCGCTTGACAACCTAACTGTCAGGGCCGTTCAGTGCTGTCTGCGTTCTGTTGAGGTTTCTATCAGACTCCAGGAATTAATTAAATATATATATATTTGAACTTTATATCAATCCTTCATTATCTTCTCGTCTTTAGCTATGCTTAATTAATGATGAACATGTCATTTTCGTTTATGATCGATTTCATCAGAATTCTTCTCTTAAGCTTGGAGATTTTTACATTCTTATTGCTCAGAGTAGAGTCCAATAGTGTTATAAAAATCTAGAAAAATTCCAATAACATATATTTAATCATTTCTAAGATACAACGATCCAAATTTTAACAATTGAACAATTTTGCAGATACACGATTTGGAGAATTTTGCTGTTACACCCGATATATATATATATATATATATATATATAAAGACATTTTTTCATGTTTAACGTTGTTATTTATAGATAAAAGTATTTAAGCAAATGCTCTGTTTATGATAAACAGTATTAAATAACATTTACCGGCCTAAATGTCCGAGAAATTTTCATATGACGTCATATATTAAGAAATGGACAAGGTCCGACAATTTATTTATTAAAGACATTTTTACTTGTCCATTTCTTAATATATGACGTCATTTGTTTACATTTGATACGCCAGAGCAGTTATGAATGTACGAGATTCATGGAAGATTGAAGTTTATAAGCAGTAAATTCGACCTTGTCTACCGAAAGGTTCTTTGTAAGCCCAGAGGTAAGGCACGTCAGCGTAAATGACGGTTCCGTATAGGATGCAGGTTCGAATCCTGTCAAAGAACGAATATTTTCTATGAAAATTTCTCGGACATTCAGGTCAGTAAATGTTATTTAATACTGTTTATCATAAACAGAGCATTTGCTTAAATACTTGTATCTATAAATAACAACTTTAAACATAAAAAATGTCTTTAATTAATAAATTGTCGGACCTTGTCCATTTCTTAATATATATATATATTTGTATGTATGTATATGTGTACTTATGTGTGTATATATGATATATATGTAGAAAAAGATAAAAAGCAAGAAGGCATCGCAATATTACCCACAATATCAGAGGAAAAAAGCTCACCCTACAAACTATATATATATATTTTTTTTTTTAAACAAAAAATATTATTATATATATATAGGAGATGTTGTTATTAATTAAGCATAAATTAGTTTGTGGGAAATGTTTATTCACAAAATGAATGAAAGCCGAAATGTATACTGATGAGAACAAAGATGGAAATATGAAACCCAGGGAGGAGGAGGAGGAGGAGGAAGAAGAAGAAGAAGAAGAAGTAAATGAGGGAAACTAAAAGAAAGAGAAAGAAAAGTGCAAAAGACTAAAACAATGGAAATTGAGAATGACAAATTGTAAAGACAGAAATAAAAACTGAAAAGGAACGAGAAAATACGAAAAAAGCAGAAGAAGGAAAGAAAGAAAGAAAATCACAGTAAAGAAAGGACAAATAAAAACGAAGAAAATGAATAAAGGAAGAAAGAAATGAGAAGGAAAGAAGGAAGGAAGCGCAGAAGGAAAGAAACGAGGAAAGAAGGAAGGAAGGAAGGAAGGTTGGAAGGAAGCGAGGAAGGAAGAAAAGGAGGAAGAGAGGAAGGAAGGAAGCGAGGAAGGAAGGAAGCGAGGAAGGAAGGAATGAAAGAAGGAAGGAAGGTTGGAAGGAAGGAAAGAAGTAAGGAAGGATGGTAGGAAGCGAGGAAGGAAGGATGGAAGGAAGGAAAGAAAGAAGTAAGGAAGGATGGTAGGAAGCGAGGAAGGAAGGATGTAAGGAAGGAAAGAAGTAAGGAAGGATGGTAGGAAGCGAGGAAGGAAGGATGTAAGGAAGGAAAGAAGTAAGGAAGGATGGTAGGAAGCGAGGAAGGAAGGATGGAAGGAATGAATGGAAGGAAGGAAGGAAGGAAGGAAGGAAGGAAGGAAGGAAGGAAGGGAGGAAGGAAGGAGGGAGGAAGGAAGGAAGGAAGGAAGGAAGGAAGGAAGGGAGGGAGGAAGGAAGGAAGAGAGCGATGAAGGAAGGAAGGAAAGAAGGAAGGAATGGGAAGAAGGGAAGGAAAAAAGAAAGAAGGGACAAAGAAAATAATGAAGAGAAAGATGAAAAGTAAAAAAATGGACAACGAAAAAAGCAGAAAGAAGTGAGAATAAAGGAAGGAAGGAAAAAATAAAAGAAAGAAAGAAAAAAAGAAAGAAAGAATAAATGGATGAAAGAAAGGAAGCAAGAAGGAAGGAAGGAAGAAAGAAAGGAAAGAAGTAAAAAAAAAGAAAGAAAGAACGGAAGGAAGGAAGGAAGGAAGGAAGGAAGGAAGGAAGGAAGGACGAATTTCTTTCACCGAAAAAAGAAAGACAACAGGGGTTTATCATGAAAACAAGGAAACTGATCAAAGGATTTTAAACAAGAATAGGGCTGTAAAAAGATCTGATGAAATCTGAACAAAGACGCCGAACTCCGGATAAAGATGAAAGTCGTGAAAGGAACAAGGAAGAATTAAAAAAAAAAAAAAAGATGGCGGACCGGAAGCAAGTTTGAGTTTTCGCATCGTACTGTTCATCTTTCGCTTTCTTATCGCACATATCACGCAAACTCTTTTACAGTATGGCGTCGACAGTGGTATAAAAAGTATAGGAGAAAAAGCTAACATGATCTGATTGGCTGCTTGCTTAACTGATTGAAAGCGTCTGCGACCAATCAGTGTGATGGAGCCCACAAAGAAGGAATTCGTGACATTAAAAGAAGAAAAAAATGATTTCATCAAAGACAAAAACATCTAAATCAAAGAATATACGTCGCCATTTTGGTTTGTCGTGCTGGTTGTCGATTTGTTTTTGACCTTTGATGCTAATGTAGTCGTTTGACGGCTGATTAAAGGTAGATGGGATATTTGATTCCAAGCTTGAAAGAAAATCATTGATCAACCAAAAGTCTGTTAGTGTTTGTATGTAAATGTGTGTTCGTATGCGTGCGAGGAAGATAGATACATACATAGAGAGAGCAAGTGTGACTGACAGGCATTCAAACAATGTCTTTACTCATATATGTGAAGAGAGGGTACCTCGAGGTGGTGTAATGGTTAACAAACTTGTCTCGCTGGAACAATTACGACTGAGTAATGAATTCGATCCTCACTGGGTGCTTCCTACTTTCGGCCTTGTACCACATCTAAGCTACGCTTGGAAAATCACTATAAAGTAGGCCTTCATATCCACAAGTCATATTCTCAGGCCCACCCTCCACGCGTATAGCTGAAACCGCGGATAGTATATACATAAGAACGTTGGGCACATCGAGATGGTGTAATGGTTAGCAAGCTTGTTTCGCTAGAACAATTACGACTGAGCAGTGAGTTCGATCCTCACTGGGTGCTTTCAACTTTCGGCCTTGTGCCACATCTAAGCTACACTTAGAAAATCATATGGCCACCTCGAGGCGGTGTAGGGGTTAGCAATCTTTTCTCCCTCGAATAATTACGACTGGGTAGTGAGTGCGATCCTCACTGGGTGCTTTCTACTTTCGGCCTTGTGTCACATCTAAGCTAAGCTCGGAAAAATCACCATATGTGAAGAAGTATGACTGACAGGCAAACAATGTCTTTACTCATATGTGTGAAGTGAGGGTACCTCGAGGTACGCTTGGAAAATCAATATCAGTTTTACTGAATTCTATATACTCTGTTCTGCGTAGACAAATGTTGTTTACAGGTTAGGTCAGAAAGGCTGATTTACCGATATATCAACCAACTCTTATAACCACTGTCCCGATGTGGTGTATTCGTGGATCATTTTTTAAATCAATCTCCTCCTAGACTGGTTGCCAACCAAGGCTAAAGAGCTCTCCCTACACTGCTATTTAACCTATAGTTTTGGGGAGAAGAAATTCACTGATACCTTTTCTCAAAGATTTTTGTAGTGCGTAAGTGAATGTAGCTAACTCGACTGGAGTTCGAACTCGGCTTTCCGGTTTCTTATTCCGAGCCACTATCCATTACACCACCCACACAACAACTCTAAACTAACAACCCTTTGAGAATGGGGCTAGAACCCTCATCGCCTAAAAAAACCTACTTGTTACGGGAACCATGGTAGCAACAACTAGGGCTGTTAAGAGCTGTTGCCCTACATTCCCTATTGGAGTTTACGGGGTTCGGGCCTTTCTACGGATAATCAAACCTTTGCAGGTTATTTAAAGCCAGAAAATACTTTTTTAGATTGTAAGAATTTTACTTTTAAGATAATAATGGTTTACTGGTACAAGTTTTGTTAATTAATCCATAGCTGGAGAAGAAGAGGTGAATTCATATCTTTCCCAAGGATATGTGCGCATAATACAACGAACCCAACTGGAATTGGAACACATCTCACCGAGTGCTATTGAGTGTTGTTATTATCCATTATACTACCCGAATATCCAAGCTAAGAGCACCTGGTATTCCCTATTGGTCACCTATCAAAAAATTATTTTCTTTTTCTCTTGTAGTTTTCTTTCTTCCTTCCCCAGTGCCATTTTTCTTTTCTTCTTTCTTTCTTTCTTTTTCATTCTTTCTTTCTTTCTTTGTTGATTTGTTTGCGGTTTCTTTCATTTTATTTTTCTTTTGTATTTTCTTTCTTTCTTTCCCAGTGACATCTTTCTTTTCTTTCTTTCTTTCTTTCTTTCTTTCTTTCTTTCTTTCTTTCTTTCTACATTATTTATTTGTTTCTTGACTCTTTCTTTTTATTTTTCTCTTGTATTTTTCTTTCTTCCTTTCCCAGTACCATTTTTCTTTTCTTTCTTTCTTTCTTTCTTTCTTTCTTTCTTTCTTTCTTTCTTTCTTTCTTTCTTTCTTTCTTTGCTGAACTTCAGTGACCGTCCGAGAAACGGTGTTTCAACATGGTGTGGCCCTAAAGCTAGAGGACTTGAATAGGTGAGTGAGTGAGTGAGTGAGTGAGTGAGTGAGCGAGCGAGTAAGTGAGTGAGTGATTTAGTGAATGTGAGTGAATGAGTGAGGAGCGAGCGAGTAAGTGAGTGAGTGAGTGAGTGAATGAGTGAAGGAGTGAATGAGTGAAGGAGTGAGTAAGTGAGTGAGTGAGTGAGTGAGTGAGTGAGTGAGTGAGTGAGTGAGTGAGTAAGTGAGTGAGTGAGTGTTATATTTAAGGGCAATTGGTTATCATGCGGGGTACGTATCGCTTTTGATAACTTTGCATTCAATGTTTGAGATGAGGAATTCCCAATATATTTTAATTAACTTTCAATATGCTTTAATTAATTAATATTACGACACTAATATGAGACGAGACCATTGGTCAAGCGTTATTATTGGTTAGCCAATCAGCGCAGTCTAACTGGTGTTAGAATTCGCATAAAAGCAAACGTTGAAAGAGCACAAAAAAACTAGCCTCGCTGCTAGAAAACCAACAATCTGTTATATAGGAATAAAGTGTCGCTTCCGACACTGGGATTTGAACACAGATCGCCAGTGAGCAAACACAGGCGATCCCATTTTAAATAACTAGATCACGGGATAGTAAAGGAAGTGTATATATGGGAATTATCGTGGCGTCTAACTGATCACTCTTTTTATTCTATCCTCTACTACTATATGGATCGCTATTCTCTACTATCTCTCTATACGGTTCACTATACGGATTACTATTCGATCGAGTATTATCGAGCAAGTACTATTAGTGCGAGTGATATTCGAAGGCGTTTAACACCAGTATTGTTTAATGGCGATACTATAGTTGTATCTGCGATTACAAAGTCTCTACTACAACGAGCATTTATGAAAGTGACAGCGAGTATTCGTTGACATTACAAAAGTGGCAACGAGTGTTCGTTGAGGATCTGTTTATATTTCTGAGTTGAGGTATTATGTACACTATTTACATTATTCGGACTATTATCCGCATCTTTGTCGCCATATTTATTACAACGTTTCGGCTGTTGTACGCTCCGGCCTTCTTCAGGTGGTTGGAAAGTCGAACTGAACTCTTTATTTCGCTCACTGGGGTAGACTGTTCTAGTTCCACGTGCGACGTTTAATGGATGTCAGTTGTCAGTTATCTCCTGTTAATTCATCAAGGACACATTGCACAGTGGATAAAGGGGTTGGTTAGATCCAGTGACAGGACCCAAAGAGTGTGAGTTCAATACTCGGCAGCGGAGAACTTGCAGGGGGGAATTCATAGGAGATAACTGATAACTGGCATCTATTAAACATGGAACTAGAACAGTCTACCCCAGTGAGCGAAATAAAGGGTTCAGTTCGGCATTCCAACTACCTGAAGAAGGCCGGAGCGTACAACGGCCAAAATGTTGTAGTAAACATGGCGACAAAGATAAGAACAATAGTCCGAATAATGTAAATAGTGTATATAATTCTCAACGAACACTCGTTGCCACTTTTTTATTTAAAAGTAAATTAAATTTAAATTTGATTTAAATCCAATCGAGTATCTGTGGTCAATCTGCAAGAAACGACTTCGAGGAAGGACATACGAAAAAAGTAAATAATAATGCAATTATTCGTTTTGTTTCAAGTAATTTGCACAAAGGTCTAAAGACGAAATATATTTTCGGTTTATAACAATTTTGGGTTGATAATAATGATTTTCTGATACAAGCATTACTATTTAACCCATAGCTGAGGGAGAAGAGGTGGATAAATTTTTTACCAAGGATATTTGCACATAAGTGAATGTAACGAACCCAACTGGTATTCGAACTTGTCTCTTCGATTTCTCCTTCCGATTTGCAACGTATTTGCAGAAACCGCACATCCATGCTTACAGCCCCTGGTATGCTTTGCCAATGAAAGAAGCGAAAATGAATTGTTGAAATAAACAAAAACAGAGATTTTTATTGTTTCGAGGCAGAAGAGATGAAATGAATCAAAAGAACTAAAATTATTTTGTTTTTAACTTCTTTTCGTTCTTCTTCTTTCTCTTTCGTTCTTTCTTTCTTTCTTTCTTTTTCTCTTTCTTTCTTTCATTCGTTCTTTCTTTCTTTTGTTAGTTTCTTTCTTTAGCTATCGATTCTCATTCTGTAATTTTTATTACTTTCTTTTTGTTTTTATTTCTCTTTTCTTAATTTTTACTATTACAGTTCTTTCTTTCTTTCTTTCTTTCTTTCTTTCTTTCTTTCTTTATTTGTTTGTTGTTTCTTTCTTTTTATTTTTCCCTTGAATTTTCTTTTTTCCTTTGCCATTGCCATTCTTTCTTTCTTTCTTTCTTTCTTTCTTTCTTTCTTTCTTTCTTTCTTTCTTGCTTGCTTGCTTTTTCTTTTTCTTTTTCTCCTCTATTTTTCTTTCTTCCGTTCCTCGTGTCATTCTTTCTTTTCTTTCTTTTCTTTCTTTCTTTCTTTGTTGCTTCTGTGTTTTTATTTTTCTCGTGTATTTTTCTTTTTTCCTTTCCAAGTGCCGTTATTTCTTTTCTATCTTGCATGTTATAGTTTCTTTTTTTATACTATTCCTTCCTACCCTTCTTCCTTCCTTCTTTCCTTCCTTCCTTTCCTTTCCGCTTCATATATTCCTTTTTTCTTTTTCTTTTCTTTTACAGTTAATCTCTTCGTTTCTATGTATTTTAATTTGCTTAGCTTTTTCTGTCTTTTCCTCACTTCTTGATGTTTTTATTTTTTTTCCGGGTGCTTATTTTAAACAACAAATACTTGATAAATGATAACACGTTTCCCGAGTTCAGAAGTGAAATTTCGGCTATAAGGGGAGACAACTGTGTTATGGAAAATAAAGCGTTTTGAGTAAGAAATTTTACTTTAACAAATAAGTGAAAGTGTATGCTCTTTGTTTGATTTTGTCGTACTTCACGCTAATTATGCCAAATTCTTGTAATATTTGGTCGGAGGACTTGATGTTCTGTATTTGCCAATATTTTGTCGTTGACCACTTTACAATGAAAGACAGCTGCTGTACGTAATTAATAAGACATTCGTGGTTCAATGTGTGTGATGGTTACTCTCTAAACAGGATTAAAAAGAATGGCTGTGATGTTATTGGTCGATTTCTCTCCTCGGTACTTCAGTCCCGAAAAAAATTTAAAAATACGTCAGGAAAAGGAGAAAAGAAAGAACAAGGTAAGCAAATTAAAATCCATAGAAGAGATCGAATATAAAAGAAAAAAAAAGTAATATATTCAACGGGAAGGAAGGAAGGAAGGAAGGAAGGAAGGAAGGAAGGAAGGAAGGAAGGAAGGAAAGGAAGGAAGGAAGGAAGGAAGGAAGGAAGGAAGGAAGGAAGGAAGGAAGGGGAAAAGGAAGGAAGGAAGGAAGGAAGGAAGGAAGGAAGGAAGGAAGGAAGGAAGGAAGGAAGGAAGGAAGGAAGGAAGGAAGGAAGGAAGGAAGGAAGGAAGGAAGGAAGGAAGGAAAGGAAGGAAAGGAAAAGGAAGGAAGGAAGGAAGGAAGGAAAGAAGGATGGAAGGAAAGGAGGGAAAGAAGGAAGGAAGGAAGGAAAGAAGGAAGGAAGGAAGGAAGGAAGGAAGGAAGGAAGGAAGGGGAAAAGGAAGGAAGGAAGGAAGGAAGCAAATGAGGAAGGAAAGAAGGAAGGAGGAAAGGAAGGAAGGAAGGAAGGAAGGAAGGAAGGAGAAAAGGAAGGAAGGAAGGAAGGAAGGTAAGAAGGAAGGAAGGAAGGAAGGAAGGTAGGAAGGAAGGAAGGAAGGAAGGAAAGGAAAGAAGGAAGGAAGGAAGGAAGGAAGGAAGGAAGGAAGGAAGGAAGGAAGGAAGGAAGGAAGGAAGGAAGGAAGGAAAGGAAAAGAAGGAAGGAAGGAAGGAAGGAAGGAAGGAAGGAAGGAAGAAAGGAAGGAAGGAAGGGTGGAAGGAAGGAAGGAAGGAAGGAAGGAAAGGAAAAGAAGGAAGGAAGGAAGGAAGGAAGGAATCGTATAGTAGAGAAATCAGAGCATATGCAAAGAAAGAAAAGAATGAATAGCACTTGAAAAGGAAGAAAGAAAAATAGAAAAAAACAAAGAAGCAATCAAGAAGGAAAGAAAAAGAAAGAATAGCACTTGGAAAGAAACAAAGAAAAAGAAAAAGAAAGAAAGAAAGAAAGAAAGAAAGAAAGAAAGAATGGCACGGTGAAAGGAAAAAAGAATAATGCAAAAGAAAAAACAAATAAATAAATAAAAAAGGAAGGAAGGAAGGATTAGAAGGGAGGAAGAAATGAAGGAATAGTA